GGGGGTGCGGTGGGCGCGCGCCCGCCCTCGGCCACGATTGACCTTCCCGGTCAAGTCCGTGACGTTCGCGTCGCAGGGGAGATGACGTGAAGGATACGGAAGTCCCGCCTTTCCCACGCGGCACTGGGCAGGCCTCCTGCGCGCGCAGGAAATTTTCCCGCTGCCGGCGTGGACCTGCTCAGAGGCTGGACCGGAACTGCAGAGGCAGAGGCGGGGCTTTTCTAAAGTCAGTCTTGACCGTGTGCCTTTTCATTCTTTTTTTTTTTTTTTAACCTAATCGAATTGTGTCATTTTAATGGATGAAGCTTGGGGGTGGTTTTTGCGGCCACGGGGTGGTCCCCACCTCTTTCTGTGCATCCTGATTGCTTCCCTAGAGATGGAGCCAGAGTGTGGTGCCGGAGCCAACACGTGGCAGAAATGCCCGGCGGAGAAAGCCGGAGAAAGCCGTGTGCTTCCGACCCGTCCTGCTTTAATCAGCACCGCTTAGGCCCCAGCCAGTTCATCCAGTCTGTGGTATAAACATTGAACTGGCTCATCTGTTCCAGTTAGAATTTTTAACCCCACCTGCAAACTGAGTTTCCTTCCTTTTATCTTTTCTAATACATAGCTATTAACGCAAAAACATTCAGACCTGTAAATAATTTTTGTGAGTTTATTTGAGCCAAACTGTCAACAACTTCCAGGGAGCAAATCTCAAGTATTGGGATAATGCCCCAGAGAATGGCTGTTTTTCGTCTTTTTTTATACATTACAAAGTGGGGGGTAGCATAGGTGGGTTACATGAAACTCATTGGTGTTCAGAGAGGCTGGAGAAAGCAAAGCAGGGAAAACTCTAGGGTGAGATAGTTAACAGTCAATAATTAACATAACAATAACAAAGAAGGAATTTATGGTCTCCTGTCCTGGCACCCAGGGCATTTGGTTGTGGCCTGAGGTGTCTGGAAAAAAGGGAAGTTAGAAGTTACCCAGACATTTCAAGGATATGTTATCATAGATGCAAAAAGACAGGCTCAGTTAAGGTAAAGGTTGACCTTGTCAGTGAAGATACCGGCCTAAGACATAACTACCCACCATAACTGCTTTTAGTTAAAGTTTAATTTCAGACCATCCTTTGTGGTTACTTTAGGTCTGTGGGTTTGCAAGACCACCATGCAGGCCTTCCCTGAGTTTGTTCGGTTAGCATGGGGCCCCTTTCATCAACATAGCAAAACTGATATTAAAGGTCAAGTACCATTTCGTAGTTAAGGGGAATTATCACTGGCAACAAGGTGAATTTACTGGAGCTTACATTATCCTGTGTAAGCTTTCCAGTGTGAACAGCAACATTAGGTGTCTTCTGGTTAAAAGGAACACACCAAATCTTCATGGACTAACTTTTAGTATTGTTGCTGGTAACAGTAAACTGAGTGACATGAAGGACTTTCCATTAGACTTTGGGGCCAAATTGTGTTTTGTGGAATAAAATGTTAATTAAAACAAGCCTCTGATAAACGTTGGGGTAATGTCAAATTGTAGCAACTAGTAAGTACTGTTGGGGGTGGCGGGAAGGGCACAGGTGTGAGACCTCTGGGGTCAGGCCATACTTGGGTTCTGGCTATGATAGAATTCAGAGCAAAGACTCAAACTATAAGAGAACATTTATAAAATCATGGAGGTGGAATAAGTAATTCGTACAAGAAATAGGCTTAGGAAACAAGATATAGAGGTAAAGGAAGGGCCCTTGGAGCTTAGAAGTGAGGAAGGTAAAGGTGATGCAGGGGGAGGCAAAGGAGTGATCCTGGGAGGGAGAGCCCTCTGGGTCCCCTGTTCTCAGGGTTTTAAGGAGATTTAGGGGAGGTCCCAGGGGAAGATCTCAATAGAATCTTCAGCAGCTTCCTGGTCTGTCCTTTCAGGGTCCTGTCCCCACTGATTGGTTGGTTGGTGCCAGGGCAGGGGGTCATTTTTCAATGGAGCTGGTCCTGAAGTCAGCCATGGCTTTGCTCCTCTGGTTTTGCTGCTTTTTTGGGCCTGGAGCTAAAATACAACTGAGGTCTAGATGTTATCTCTAGGGAGGAAAGGTCAGGGGGTCCAAACCACAAGACCACTGATAGACTAGTGAAAGGGTTAACTTAAAATGCAGGCAGACAGGGCAGGGGTCTAGTGGAAAACAAAGGCAGGTGGAACATAGGCAGGGGCAGACATGGCGGTTTGAGCCAGCCTAACCACAGGACCAACCAAGCAGAAATAATAAAATGTTTCTGGACTCAAAGCGGGAGGAATGGGAAAACAAGGGAGGGCCTTTAGCAACAAGATGTACAAACACATAGAAACAGAAAAAGTTCAGCATAGGAACAGAGAACACATAGAAACAGGGAAAGTTTAGGCCCATTGTTGGGCAAAAACAATTGAGGGAATCTATCAGGCGACGACACAGATAATAGAAGCAGGCTTGTAGCAAATATACCCCTGGACCATAAGGCTTTAACCGGCAGCCCATTCTTGGGTCCCCCTTCCCTTGTGGGAAGTCTGAATCTGCTTGTCATAAATTTTCCACTTTTGCTTAAATCTTGTGGTCTGCATGGTCCTGAGACAGGACCCCAGGAAAACACCTCGGCTCACCTTTCCGGTCATCACTAGGGGAGGAAAGGCCACCCTGGGGACAAGGTCTCACCCTACAATTGTCCTTTGCTAGGCACCCAGGGCTTTCCACCCTAGGGACCTGTACTCTGCTCATGTCTGCCTACTACAGTACCAGGTACTCTTCTCTGGATCTTATCTTCCTTCAAACTGATAAATTTATGTATGAATTTTTAAATGTGTTTAAATATACATATCCCAATATATGGTATATATAAACTAGTAACTAAAGTTCTGCAGCACACCAAAAATGTATTTTTTGATTTGACAAAAAAATGTGTAATTTTTATTCACTCACACTGGACGGCTATTGTGTTGGCTGTTGTCATTTTTATATTTAACAAGCTAAGAGATCAGTGCTTCTATTAGTCAGGGACTAGGATCTCTTCAGTGTAGGCCCACCTTTGCTGCTACTCATTGGGGTCACATATTCTCATCTTAAAGTGTTCCATTTGAATATTGTGATCCAAATAAAATTTATAAATATTTCTTTCATATGTGTAAACATACATTTCTTAACTCATAATGGGGAAGATTAGAACTTGCTACCTACTTCATAGAGAAAGTTGGAGGGAAATGTCTATTATAAAGCCCAATACAAAAGTAAAGTATTAGCATTAATGTGTATGTATGTACTAGTCATCCAGCAGTGTGATGCCCTGTATCTTTTGAGTTGCAGAGTAGAGTATAAAATGAGCATACAAATATTGGGCAAACCAACCAAAACCATGTTAACCCTAACACTTTGCAAATGAACTTGTGCAACATAGTAAAACATTCCAGTTCTATATTTATAGTCTATTCCCATCATTAATATTACTATTGTCACATGACTAATTTTTAAAACTTTAAGCTCCTTAAATTATGTATTTAATTTTTCTACAGCTTCTGAAATTATCACAGTGCTGAGCAAAGGAATGGAGATCAAAATATGAATATAGATCTAATATGCTTTCTGAAATGTTTGACAAATTTTAAAAATTATTTTCATAAGCAATTGTTAAAGTGATCTCTGGGATCAGATTTAGGTTTTTCTTCACTACTTTAAGGCCTTACTTTGCAAAACCAAAACTACCTAATGTAGTTAGCTTCTTCCTCTTTATTAAAAAAAAATCCTCTTGTATAATCTTGCTCATGTTTAGTTTGTAAGCATTTAAGCATGCAAAATTGGTTTTTACCTTTCAGAAGTATGAATTCATTTAAAAGCAGTATGAAACCTCTTAAAAAACATCTATTAGGAACACAACCTGTATTCCAACTGTCACATTATGAAGTAATTCTTGCACTTGTCAAAGCCACAGTGGCTGTTTTCTCTATATTCACTTACCCACATACAAGTGATGGTATTTTTGCCATCCATCAAGGTGTGTAATATAGGTAACATAGGTTATATTAATGTATTTAATGATGCTGTCATGCTAAATTCCAGTCACCTGGAATTAACACCAGTTAATTCACAATAACACTAGCTCTTGAGTATTGTGACTTAAGCATTTATCAATGGGATGTATATTTCCAAAGAGACTCAGGAGAATCCAGAATTTATAGAGTGTAACATAAGTATACCAAACATTAATATTAAAGAAAAATCTGGACAGGTTCACTTACCCTGGTTAATAGAATACTGACTACATATAGTGACTTAAAACAATGAATTAGCCTGACCAGGTGTAGATCAATGGTTGAGTGTCAACCCATGAAACAGAAGCTCACTGTTAGAATTCCCTGACAGGCATACCCAGGTTGTTGGGGAGAGTTCGATCCCCAATAGGAGGCCTGCAGGAGGCAGCTAATGGATGTTTTTCTCTCATCAATGTATCCCTTCCTCTCTAAAATCAATTTTAAAAATTAAAAAAACACCAATGAATTAGTTTTCCTTTGGTATTTTAATAATTTCAAAATAATTTTTAAAATTTGCTATTTGAAGTTTCAGCATGCTTGAAATGTTCTGTTCTGTAATGCCAGGTCTGTGGGAATGTTCCTGAAAAATAACAAAATGAAAATAGATTGAAAAAAATCAGAGGATCTTAAGAGGTTTAGTGACCTTGAGTTTCCATTTAGCCTAACACTTTATATTGTTTTAATAAAGTGAATAATGTAGGGTGCAAAATAATTTTTATGAAATGTGTATTTAGAGTCATTTGAATAAAAAAAAAGTTAGAATGATATTTTCATAAAGAACAAGACAGGCTCATTTAGTAAACTATCTCCAGTTCCCCTTTTTACCTCCTAAGAGGATAAATGACTATAAATCATTTTCAATTAGCAACAAAAGGATTTAACTTTACAGTAATGAGAAACAGAAAGGGAAAATAATCTTTCAAATAGATACCAAAATTAATTTTTGTGAATATGTTGGTATAAGTTGAAATATGTTTGAAAGGCATGAAGTGGGTATTCTGTTAGCACAGGTAAACAAAATCATTTCTAAAGTAAATCTATAAACAGATTACAAAACAACTGCAATATTAACTATTTTGGGATATAAGGTCTAAACTAACCTAAGTGTTATTTCCAAGAATTAAGTAACTTTGTGAGAGACACACATGGATTGGTTGCCTGCCACAGGTGCCCCGACTGGGGCAGGTGAAAGAACCTACATCCCAGGAACATGCCCTTGACCTGAGACACTTCTCTCTTTGGTGCGAGGGGCTCACGTTCTAATCACTGAGCCATGCCAGTCAGGACTTAAGTCACTTCTTAAAAGAATGAGAGAAAAGAAATACATTGGGTCATCTGTAATTACAAATACCACATACTTTCAAAAGGCGGGGGGGGGGGAAGAGTCCTGGATGGTCCCAAAAGATAATGCCTTGTAATGTTCAAATAAAAATGCACTGCATTACATCTGAAATATAAAAAATGTATTTGAAAAATGTTCCTGATATAGGCTTCTAAAAGCATGTTATTGTATTTAATAAGCTCGATCTCCAAAATTAAATATGGAACATCCCAATCTATATCCCCATACCAGAGCTTGAAACTTAAGAAAATATAGGGCTTTTTCTCTTCTTTTTTCAGTAAGATACTGAATTTTAAGAAATTCAGTTTTGTGAATCAATAGAACTCATGTGTTGTAATAAATATGGGGTGGTATCTGTTATCTAGCAGGGTAATTTTAATTGGAAAATAACCCTAATACAGGAAAGAAATTAACCAAAAATTATAGGATAGGGCCAAAAGTCATATATAAAACATTCTATTAAACAGCATTATATCCCTTTCTTAGTAAAGTGCTACAATTTTATTTCATAGCTGTATTAATTTGTAGGGTCGTATTTAGCCTTTCCTTTAAATTTGGTTATCAATCAGATATAAAAACAAATTTAGCTATTTTAAGACCACCCCCTAAATTATAAAATAAATATATGTTTGTTTACAGACCTCAAGGATATGTTTGAGAAATCTCCTTTTTATTCTTTATTCATGCCAGAGATTAAAAAAAAATGTTTTTCATTTAATTGAAGAGCCAAGGAATCATTATTAATATTGTCAATGCTGGTGATTTATCTGAATTTTAGTTTGTTTCACCACTGTGGAATTTGTCTAATTAAAAAAAAACACAGATTGATACATACTTCACTTTTATGATTACCTTCTTTTACATTTCAACCATACAAATTTATTTTTCCATATGAGACAGGGTAGGACACATTCTTCTTGTATACGTTACTGTTTATTGTTTCAAGTGAATGGAATAAATTCCACTGAATAGTTTAGTGTGGCCCTGTATCCTATATAAACAGGTTAAAAGAAGACTTTATTTTATAATCTGTGTATTCACGTCTACCATAAATTGTCTTCATGACAAGTGCAGAATTTCTTTAATTACTTGCCCCAAGTTAGCTGTTGATCCTTTTCACTGATAATACACAAGTGTAGAGAACAAGAAGCCTTTAAAATTGGGGGGAAAATACTTTCCCCTATATTACTGAATATTGGAATTTTATGTTGACTCTGGATGACCAGGAAAGCCAGTGTTAAGAATCAATATTACCCAATATAAAATAGTACACTGAATTGTTTAATAATAAACAGTACATTAAGAGCTTATATATACTGACTGGAAACCAGTGGTGGCTTTTAAATTCTCAGAAAGGCTAAACATTTTATGGTTAGCAGAAACCACAGGTGATGATGAAGGTGCTCCATGTCTCTGTAGCAGCCATTACATTAAAAATGTTTACAAATTATGTCACTAGCAGTAAGAGAATTTTACTGGTATTAGTCATAAAGGTGAAGAGAGAAGAAAAAGTGAAGTGTGCATTAGTTAAGTGTGGCAAGGCAATAAAAAGACAGAGAAAAGTGATAAATTTCTTCTATAGGTGGTTTGTTGCAAACAAATTCAAAAGAGCAATATGGATATTTAAAAAGCCAATGTTGGGAAACATCCATTGATAATGCCCATTGTTTTACTTTATACTTAAATTACACAAGCAGAAAAGTTATGCTTATTAATAGTTTAATGTATGAAGGAAACATCCAGATTTCTGAATATGAAGGTACATATCTCACATTAATTTAAGTCTACATAAAGTAGAGCCTCTATACTGACATATTGAAATTTACTTTCTGCTTAGCCTTCTCTGTTATGTAAACAATTGTACATTTATTTGCCATTCTAAAACTTCAGGATCAAGTTTACATAATTTTGCTAAATTTCCGTGTTTGCTCAGAAGCAGTTTACAGTACTAATACCAACCAGCCAAAGAACAGCTTCAACAGAAAGTTATGTCCAAAGGGGAAGAGGGAGAGCAAAAAAGAAAAATGGTAAGAAAAATACTAACTAAGGTAAAACAGATGATGATGGGGAATGGGCAGTCACAAATGTTCACAGAAAATAGGTCAGTTAGTAAGTTCTTCTGCAAAAAGCCTACACACTTCAGTCAAGCACATCAGTAGAATGATTTGGGAGCATAAAAATAGTTTTCCGGCCACTTGTGATTTCCTCTGTATGAAAAGGAATCTGCAGGCTAACAAGCTGATCTTCATCAGCCAAGCTGGTTCATATGCACACTGTTCATGTGAGGTGCCCAGGGTCCAGTCCACACCTATGAAGAAAGAACATGCATTTTATTAAATGTGTATTTAACATATAGTTGACTAAAATAAAACTCTAGCTATGGACTAAAATAGCTAAATCTCATTTAATTTGCAACATACTTGAAAACAATGAAGAAAAGCAATGATAAACCACTTTTACCAATTATTTCCTTGCCTCTCCTCTTATTCCTCAAATAGGATCCAACATCATTTTTTAAAAACCATTACCTGGGTACATAGATTTATGACTGTAGAAGGAAAATGAGTCAAATATATTAAACATACACCAAAAAAACACAAGAATATACAATGTATCTATGAATTTGTAATTATACATAGTTTTGACATTTATGATTCTCTCAATAACCTCTATATGGCCCTTTTCATAACTAGTAAATTTTGATCTATAAAATTATAAAACTTTGCAACTTAAAATCTTTTAATTACCATCTACTGCCCAACGAAATACATTATGCCATTCATAATTTTAGCACAAATTATGTACCATTTTCTACATCCCTCTGCTATATTAAATTTCCTTAACTGCCCATATTCACCATAATCTCTCACTACCATAATTTACCTGTATTCTATTTGTCCCAGCATCTCATACACACTAATACATAAATGTTCACTTAATGATCAGCCTTACCGTTTGAGGGCCATTATTTTCTGTGGAGCTTGAAACCATCTTTATTAGGGAGTTCCAAGAGGGGTCTGCAGCATGAGGGCCATTAAATATGGGTCCTGCAGCACCATCAGGAATAGGTGCTACTGAAGGAATCATTGCATTCCCATACACAGAAAAAGGCATACCCTTAAAAAAGGAGGGAAATAAATATTATGCACATTCAAGTCACTGCTCACTTTTCCCAATATAATCAATAGCCCTAAAATTAATATTTGAGCCCTGGCTGACTTGGCTCAGTGGATAGAGCATAGGCCTGTGGTCTGAAGGGTCCCGGGTTCGATTCCGGTCAAGGGCACATACCAGGGTTGCTCAATTCCCAGTAGGGGACGAGCAGGACACAGCCTACCAATGATTCTCTCCCATCATTGATGTTTCTCTCTCTCTCTCCCTTTCCCTTCCTCTCTGAAATAAAAATATATTTTAAAAAATTAATATTTGAAACTTCACCTCATTTTTTAAAAGTGTAGGTTATCTAGGTAATCTAAAAATTACTTTCCATTATAATGATTTCTTGTAGCATTAGATATACATAAGCCTACTATATCCAAAATATTTTGTCAAAAAACATTTCTCTGAACTGAAAAAAAATTAAGATTTATAAATATTTATATTTTAGCCAGATTTTGACCTATAATTGTAGGCCGAAGCCCCAAAATCATTCCACAAATGCTTATCCCCTTGAAAGTAAAATAAGACTAAGAAGAAAAACATCTGGAAATAATGAAAATGTTTATTTAAATCACCATTACCCCAACTTTAGGAAAGTCCATGTATCCTGCAGGAACATGCTGATGGAATGTACCAGAAGGAGTTACAATTCCTGTACTCTCTCGCTCCATTGCTTGATGCTGTGAAAACACTCCTGGATCAGACATAGGCCTATGAATCATAGGATTTCCCATCCCAGGGTTACACCAGTCAACTTTGTCTGAAGGAAAAACAAAAAGGCAGGAAAAAATAAATGGTGATATTTAAAATCAGAAGACAGCAAAATAAAATGTTTTATGTATTTCTAGTATTTTCTACATTAAATTATGAATTCCTTCAGAATAATGACCTTCTTTTATATATTTACTGCAGTATTTCTATGTTTGTAGGTAGTGATATAATACTCTAACAAAATAACTTAAACACTTTGTGTTACAAAACAAAAGAAAAAAAAGCCAACATAGGGTGAAGGCTAAAGAACCTCAAAAGAAATAGTAACATCTCTTTAATATGAAATGAAGAAAAGAATATGCTTACATTAGATCAAGCATGTCAAATATGCGGCCCACGACGAGTATTTTTGCAGCCCAGCCAATATAATGGCATATAAGAAACGTTTTAATAAAAATTTCGTAACGTAATTTTTACAATATCCTGTTATACATAATTATTAATAACAAGCTACAATGTTTGCTAATGACTGATTACTATAATTGTGTTGCATTCATTTCCCTTACACGCCTTACGTCCAGGCGCACTATTTCTTTCCATTAATACTAGCAGCGAATATTTTAGCAGCCGATTGCCATGTCATTATGACTTGTTTAGTGTGCACAACAGGAAATATTTTGCTTTCGGAGAACAAGAAAAATAGGTTAATTTGTGCAGTTATCTAGTGTCTGGTAAGTTAATGTTCAAGGAAAAATATTAATTTTTATTAAAATGTTCTATTATTTTATGTTAATAATTACTCATTTCTTTCAGCTCTTTGTATTCAGCATGTCTCTATCGAAATAAACCTATGTGTCTATGAAAATTGAAGCTTTTTGTTTTTTTTGCGGCCCACATAAACTTAAACCTTGTTTACTTGGCCCATGTTAGCCTTTGAGTTTGACATGCTTGCATTAGACTATTTTCAAAAAGCAATGATAAATTTGATGGGAGGTAATATGGGAACAGTAAATGTTCTGAACTCTTAAATAAAAGTGATTACTTAATTTCCTGGAAGCAGAAAAGCATATCATACCTTGATTGCCACCAATCCCTTCAAAAGACCAGATGCCACTATGCCCTACTGATGTGGACAAATTACTCCCAATAACAGATGGAGCTGAAGTTCCAGTTTGCCTGATACGTGCAGAACGTTCAGTCCCAATAGGGACTGGAACTTTTCTGTCCTGAGAGACGTTGCTGGGCTTTTCTGACCCTAAAGGTACTGATGATGGGGCAGGAGAAGGTGCACGAACTCCGGAGGATACTGACTGTGCAGGAGAATCTAGAGAAAAGATATTTTGAAATAGTATACATGTCATCTATAGAGCATGAAATTTTGTAAAACCAAATCTTAAATCTAAAGATGTCTTAAATATACATTCTGAAGAAAAATAAAACATGAGAAAAATGTTTAAATAATAAGTGATGCATGTTAAAATTTAAAGTTCCATGACTTCATACTCATTTTTTAATGTGGTACACCTGGTGCACAATTTTTCCATTTAGTTATTTGATAATTGAATGTGAAGATGTACATGCTGCAACTATACATGTAATAAACCATTAAACTAATTAATATTTAAATTAATTAATCCTTGACATTGAGTAAAATATACCAGAGCAATGAGAAGAAAATGATTAAATTTTTTAAAAAATGGAGGTAGGGAAAATCATGCCTATTTTGACAAGTCCCAATCATGAGGATATTTTTCCATTGATTTTTAGAGAGAATGGAAGAGAGAAGAGGGAAAGACAGAAATATTGATGTGAGAGAACACATCGATTGGTTGCCTCCTGCACAGGCCCGACCAGGGCAGATCCTGCAACCCAGGTATATGCCCTTGACCAGAGGGTGACACGCTATCCACTGAGCCAAATTGGCTAGGGCCCTTGGTATCCTATATAATAAAAGCCTAGTATGCTAAGTGTCTGATCATCCGGTAGTCCATTCAAACAACCAAAGCGTAATATGTTAATGATATGCTAAGGCCGCTCAACTGCTTGCTATGATGTGCACTGACCACCAGGGGGCAGATGCTCTGACCAGTAGGTTAGCTTGCTGCTGGGGTCTGGCCAATCATGACTGAGTAAGATGGGCCGGACATGCCCTGGAGCCCTCTCACGGTCCCTCCCGGCTGGCCAAGTCCCACATCCCTTCCCGGCTCTGATCGTGCACGGGTGAGGTCCCTTGGCCTGGCCTGTGCCCTCTCGCAATCCGGGACCCCTTGGGGGATGTCGGAGAGCCAGTTTCAGCCTAATCCCGCAGGCCAGGCCAAGGGACCCCACTGTTGCATGAATTCATGCACCAGGCCTCTAGTATTATGCTAAAAAACAAAGGACTCAGATATCTAGCAAGTCTGGAAAAGCTAGCTGAAGAAAAAAATAAGTTTCTTTAAATCAGTACTTCACAGAATCTTAATATGCTTATAAAATATCAAAATACCATGCGGTATACCTGAAACTAATACAAATTAACATTGACTGTAAACTATAATTTAAAAAAATAAAAAACAAGAAAAAGCTATGCCTCACTACCCAACTTTCTTTTAATATATAT